AATCTAAGAGCCGTCACTATAGTCACAGACCTATGAAATCTTGGAGAGAGCACATACCTTGGTATCTACCTCTCTGGCCCCAGCCTTTTACCCCTAACTAGTGCTAAATCTCCTTCTTTTATGAAACTTCGTAGAGTTGCTCAAGAGGAGAAGCTGCTACAGCTCTCACTATACCACATGAAGAACAGGAAAGTGATGAAGAACACCTGCTGAGGAAAAGTTCTTGATCCCAACAAATATCTCCTCTTCCTCACTGGATTAGGATCTGAGCTGCCAAGGAAGAAGGGCAATGCAGAAGGCCTTCTACCTTTTCCTCCTCTACTGCACACTGTGTTCATTTCATAATAGCAAATTTTATGGCATCAAAGCCATAAATAACCTTTGAACATTATATAGTTTTTCCCACCACATCCACCCTTCTTAGGCAACCACTGTTTTATTGTTGAGAGGCCTGGAATGGAATTACCTCAAACCACACCATTTTAGAGGTTGTCAGTGTAGGGTATTCCATTCAATCCCCGTCCCTTCCTAGTCCAACCCCTTCCTTGTCCCTCTTTAAGGATCCCTCTCATGAGATGTTAAGACAAGTAGTGGACTCTCTTCTAAATCTTGGAGTAGTGGAAGATGTGCCCCTGGAGTTCAGAGGGATGGGGCTTTACTTTCCTTATTTTCTAACTTGGAAGAAGAAAGAGATCTGGAATCTAGTCCTCCATTTGAGATTTCTCAACAAGTCAAAGTAGAAAAAAATCAATGGTTTGGGTTTTTTTTATTTAAATTTGATTTTTTATTGAAAATACATAGTTTTAAAAAATAAAATAAACTTATTGAAAATTAACTGAAATTATGACAACCTATGTCAAAGACTAAACATATTATAATTGATTACAATTATTTAAGTTAATTTAAAAATCATATCAAGCAGTCCATGTTTGTTGTCAAATTTTAAAGAAAGTCAAACCTCCAAACTAGTGGAGGTCAATAGGTAAGCACCTAAAACCAGAGTTTGTTAAAGTGCAAAACCACCTTTTGACAGCAGAGGCCTCTACTACAGGTACAGAGAGAATATTTTCTTTATTTGAGTTTATTTAGTAAGCTCAGTTCAATGACTAGTACATGCAGAGTTAAGAAACCAACTGGGAATTGAGAAAGCAGGAATGCTTGTTTTTCTTTTCCAATCTCTGAATTAAAAACCTAAAGCGTGAGAGGATGAGATCTACTCATTTTAAACTCTTGAAGGATATGGTACCTGGAAACAGTGAGTTCAGGTCACTAACTACAGATAATACTTCCTTTGTTTAAAAAAAATAATTTTGTTTTGATAACCTTTTTGTTAAACTTTTTTTCTTATGTATCCAGCATAGTTAAATAATAATAAATAGTCACAGACCTATGAAATCTTGGAGAGAGCACATACCTTGGTATCTACCTCTCTGGCCCCAGCCTTTTACCCCTAACTAGTGCTAAATCTTGGAGACAGCACATACCTTGGTATCTACCTCTCTGGCCCCAGCTACCTAAATAATAAAAATACCATTTTAAAATTCTGTTTTGGTTCATTTTTAACTAAATTCTAATTTCCATCAAAATAGAGCTTGACACAAATCACAAGAAAAATTAATGCTCATTAGCAAATGACAAATGCATCACTGACCATTTTCTAACATATTAGAAATGTAAAAATTAAGAAAGTGAATAAATGTAAATTGTCATCTTATTGCTTAAATAAATAGTATAGATAGATATAATGTATGCTTTAACAAAAAGAAGCACCAAATATAGTATAAATGCTATTTTGAATTGCAAATCAACATGTTTTAAAGGTTACCAACCAGTGAGAATCAACCTTTCTTTAGGAAATAACTAAAAAGTACAAATGCAAAACAAGATTAAAATTGATTATTTATATCAAGGTTTCCTGCTTGCTGATTTAAGCCATGATTAAAATTGATTATTTAAATCACTGATTTAAATCAATCCACCCTGCAACAGTTTCATCTGTCATTTCAAATGCAGGATGATAAGGTTGGCCTCTATAATCCAATTATTAAATTCCCAAATCCCTATCCCTGCTTCCTGGCTCACTGTTTTACAAGACACTTACTTTACATATCAGTTCAACTGACACACAGAAAATACCTGAGATTCCAAGTGGGAGCATCTACCAGTAGAGAGTTTTGCTCTTTGTCTTTCATCAGCACCAAAGGTGTTCACCAAGTGATTGGCAGTTGTGGTGGCTCACAGAAGGAGACAAGGGATCCAGGTATATCTGTACATTAACGATTAACTCATTTGAGGAAAATCACCACGGCAGGTGAACTGTTCAGGTCACCTAATTCCACATCTTTCCACTACTCTGAGTCTCAGGACCACACTGTTGCCAACGCAGAGAACAGTTCATGGGGCAGTGCTAAATTCCACACCAGCAAGGGCTTATCTACCACAGGAAAGATTCAAGACCACGGTAGAAAAATGAGGAGTACTTTTGGCACCTTAGAGACTAACAAATTTATTTGGGCATAAGCTTTTGTGGGCTAAAACCCACTTCATCGGTTTCATCAGCAGCTTACATGCTTATCCAGAAACATCTGGAAGAGTATGTCTCAGGCTTTTGGATGTGGCCTCATAAAGTAACTGTGGTTCTTCAAGAAATGTTGTCCACATTCCAGACTCTTCAGACTCTTGGAATCAGTCCAAAGATTCCACGACTCTTTCCTTGCTACTGGGTAGCCCTATGCCATCTGGATTCTGTATTGGTGAAGGAATTGAAGGACGATTGAGCATGCTTTCCCCTTTATGCCCTTGTTATAAATTCTCTGTTCAAGATTTGTATAGGCAAAACTCCCATTGCTTTCAAAGGGAATTTTGCCTAAGTAAGGATTTCAGGATTGGGCCCTAAATTAATGCCAGCATGTGTGCACTTCTTCAAAGAAAAGTAATTATGTTGTTTTTTAGATTGGATTTGGGGTTTTTGTTTGTTTTGGGTGGAATGTTTTTTCTGTACAGAGGTGAAAAAAAAAAGATCTACATTGTGTGTGGACTGGGGAACCCTACTTTATGCACCATACCTAGAGGCTTAATTGATTTATTTTATACATTTCCTTAAAACTATACTGGCCTCTTTTGGAAGCTAAGTTGTCTACTGATGTTCAGTTGGATGAAATGTACAATGGTCAAATTATAAACCACATAAATTGGGTTGATAATAGAGATAGTTGGAGACTTTTAACCACAGCTATACTGCTTAATCACGTTTAAAAACTAGAGCATAATGCAACATTCTAAATAAGTGCAAGTTTTGATAGTTTGACCATGAGGATTCCTCATAAACAGGACAATACCTACTCTTTTTGAGTGTCTTTTTAACTTCACTGATAGCAGAATCCCTCCACTGGCATGGAATCCAAATAAAGGTGCTCTGTGCAAGTGGAGTGCAGTAAGGTTTAAGAAGGTAAAATTCATAATTTGCAGCTAGTGAGTGATGGCTATTGCAGTCTTTGTGGTTTCTGTTCCTATGGCCTGGAAGAGTTAGTCGCAGCCACTTTGTGCTCATGGTGTTCAGTGCTGGGACTGTTTGTAAGTGTGAATCCTGTGGCACCATTCCTGGCCTACCAATGTCATAGCATTCTGTATTAGCCTGTGGAATTGGCACAGAGACCCTCTCCATGGCTCTCAGCCCTGTGCACAGCCCCCTCTGTGGTGTCTTTGCTCCTGTGCAGAATTTAAGTCGTGCAGAGCAGTGGTTCTCAACCTACTGTACCCCTTTCAGCTCACTTAAAGACTACTTGCTTACAAAATCAGACATAAAAATACAAAAGTGTCACAGCACACTATTACTAAAAAGTTGCTTATTTTCTCATTTCTACCATATAATAAATATACTTGAGCCTGTTTTTCACTTGTGAGCCCTGCCATACTGGGAGGCAGTGAAGTGACAGCAACCATTAAGTTTTTCTCCACACTGAGTCTATTCCTACTCTCTGGGCCAGAATTAGGGGGTGGCCGGCAGGGCAATTCCCCAGGTCCCCATGCCACAGGGAGCCCTGCAAAGCTAAGTTGCTCGGGCTTTGGCTTCAGCCCAGGTGGCAGAGCTCAGGCTTCAGCTTTCTGCCCTGGGTCCCAGCACATCTAACTCCGGCCCTGGAGACCCCATAAAAACGAACTTGCGACCCACTTTGGGACTGTGACCCAGTTTGAGAACCCCGATATAGTATATAGAACAGTATAAACAAGTCATTATCTGTGTGAAATCTTAGTTTGTACTAACTTTGCTAGTGCTTTTTATATAGCCTGCTGTAAAACAAGGCAAGTATCTAGGTGAATTGATGTACTTCCTGGAAGATCCTCTAGGGTGTACATACTCCTGGTTGAGAACCCCTGGTGCAGTGGGCCTTGTGATAGTCCTCTGCACTGCAGACAAACTTCAGCCTACAGAAGCAAAAATTATTCCTACGGCCTGTCTAAATTCTATATACATTAATTACTATGGGAAAGGAGGCGAAAGAAGAGGAGCATGGTTGTCGTACAGTAGTTCTCAAACTTTTGTACTGGTGACCCCTTTCACATAGCAAGCCTTTGAGTGTGACCCCCCCGTTATAAATTAAAAACACATTTTAATATATTTAACACTATTATAAATGCTGGAGGCAAGCGGGGTTTGGGGTGGAGGCTGACAGCTCGTGACCCCCCATGTAATAACCTTACAACCCCCAGAGGGGTCCCGACCCCCAGTTTGAGAACCACTGGAATCGTACGTCAAATTCCAAATCTATCAGAAATTTTCATTAAAATGAATTTAATTAATCTAGCTTAATTGGAGAAAAAAGAAGCTAGACACAGTTGTAATATATAAAGAAGAAGCCAAGGGCATATATGTATGAAAGAGTCTAACTTTTAGAGACAAGACTTTTATCAGGAAATTTGCTCAGCTGATCTGTGACTGGTAAACCATGGCTGCAAGTTGTATGAATAAGACTGAAGTCTCTTCCTTTATTTTTCTCCAGGAAATTGATGTTACAAAAAGAAAACTTAGCAGAAAACGTGATTCTGGGTTCCATTGTTTCTCAAAAAACTAGTGAGAGATTACAGCAAGTCAAGGCAAAAGTTGCAGCTGTAAAGGATCATCAAGCCAATATGAAAATTATGATCAAGCCGCCATTGAGCTGCAGTGCAATAAAGCATGTATAATAAACTCCAATGTTTAAGATGTTAACTTACAACATTGTAAGTGAATATAAACCAAACTTTGTCTTTTTATTTGAATACTAAATTTGGAAGTCTATACTCTCATCATTTAAACTGAACTTCCAGGCCTTCATTTAAGAAAAAAACATAATGAAGAGAGACAATTAGATCTGTTTACTTCTAGAATGTATAAAACTGGTCTTATTTTAAAAAATCAGCATTTACTACAGTATTAGATACCACACTTCAGTGTATGATATTGCTCAGTATTTTCCTAACCTTAGAAGAGACGGTGATATTTCAGATTGCATTGTGTGGTAATTGGTCGTAAATGTTTACTTTTAAATGGCGAGGACTACACGTGTGCATACAGTTATCATCTGTACTTACTCTGAAAACTAAATTATTCAGTGCGAAAAAAATAATAGGGCTTTTATGGTTGATAATGTAGCCAAATAGCAAGAGTGCAATTAAAATTTTGACTACAGTTATTGCAGACAGAGCTGCTGAAGCTTTGCCTCAGTGCTGCCTCAGCAAATGTATACATACAACAATGCCATAAGCTCTAGATGGAATGTATTTTCTGTTTCATTCTGGCAACCCCGATGCATTTTCTCCTAGCTGCTAACTTTCATTAGCACGCTGTGTACTTGGATTCGTCTCATCAGCTGCTTTCAGACATGTAATTAATTATCTTTCGAGTTTATTCTGCTTACATTCTTTTTATACATGCTTCTGACTCTGTATGTGTACATGTGTGTGCATGTCTATATAAAATATGAGAGACAAGGTTGGTGAGGTAATATATTTTACCAACAGAGAAGCTCTCTCACCAACAGAAGATATTACCTCACACACCTTCTCTCTCTAATATCCTGGGACCAACGCGGCAACAACTACACTGCATATATAAAATATAGTCGTTTTTATTATTATTCTTATATCTGCTTTGGGCTAGTGTTGGCACTCAGGGCGGAAACTAGTTTCTTCCAGTCCTCTCTTATTTGCTGCTGCTTCTGCATTTTGATGGGGCTGTTGGTCCCGAGCCTGGATAAAGTGGGGAGGATTGATAACATGGCTAACCACCTAGCCTCGTAAAAAAAAAAAAAAAAGGAACAGAATCAGGCTACCATTCTGATAAAAATGCTGATACCTCACGCTGCATGCATGTTCTTGGTAAAAGCCAGTTCCCCGACAACTTTGATATAGCAGCAAGAGAACATGTTAAAGGTTGTTTTTGGAAAGTGAGAACGTTTCAGACATAAATAGTCTCACAGGTCATGAGGGAGATGGATAGCTATAAACTTATCATAGAATATCAGGGTTGAAAGGGACCTCAGGAGGTCATCTAGTCCAACCCCCTGCTCAAAGCAGGATCAATCCCCAATTTTTACCCCAGATCCCTAAATGGCCCCCTCCAAGATTGAACTCACAACCCTGGGTTTAGCAGGCCAATGCTCAAACCACTGAGCTATCCCAATACTTGAGTATATTAATTTTGCTAAATAAATATATTGTGGGTCCGTGCCCTAAAACAAAATCATTATGATTGCTTAAAAAAAAAGACAATCTCCTTACTCTACCATTGTGTACTATGTGAAGTTATGCAGTTTTCTTTCATTCTCTTCTGTCTCGAGTCCCTGGAAGCCTGTCTCTTTCATTCATTCCAAATGATATTTCCTATTGCCAGTTCTTCTCTTCCTTTAGTTGTGCATAGGCCACAGCTGTATAGAAACAATCTTTTTTAATACTCAGGTGTGAACTGGTAAGATAGAGCAGAAGGGCACTATAATGTCCTTATGTTCTTATGTATGAATACACTTTGAGCTAATCCTGTTTCAAAAGGGCTAGATCAAAGCGTTCTAATGAACGGTTCGTGTATGGCAGCAGGGTGCACAATGACCATTAGATTGTGGCAGACAAGTGCAGAATAGATTCACACCCCAGCTCACCGCAGTCTAGTTGTTTGTGTAGACAAGCCATAAGTGTCCAATACTCTTGTGTGACTATACATGAGTACTAGCTAGGGCTGTGATCTCTTAAGCTAAACAGGATGACCCATAGTCAATACTTGTATGGGAGAATGATGGGGAGAGAGGCCCTATACCAGCAGAGAAGAGGTTAAGGAGAGCCCTTGCTCTCTACTAGCCCTGCCTTGCTATACCTGCAGTCAATGCCAAGCCTTTATTTGAAGGGAAATAAAAAGCGAGAACCTGGTCCATTCTGTCCAGAAGGAGCTCTACCTTTCTGCCTGAAAGGAACTTTGCTTGCAAACTGTTTCGGAAAGGAAGGAACTTTGAAAGGAAAGGAACTTTGCTTGCAGAGTTGTGGAGAGAGGCCTGCTAGCCTGAGCAACCACAGTGGAGGAATAGCTAGATCCCAAGGAATGAGCAATACTCAAATCAGAGACTGGGAATCAAGCCCAAAGAAAAGGCCAGGAATGCTTCCCCTCCCACAGAAGACAGGGGGATGGCCTAGTACTGAGTTACATTTGCTTTTTGTTGTAAAACAGCAGTTCTCAAACTTTAGAAACCTAAGCACCTCTATTTTGATTTAAAATTTTCAGACTCCCAACCCCCCGCTCAGCCCCAGGCCTCACCCAGACTCCACCCTTTCCCCCAAGGCCCAACCCCTGCCCCTCCTCTTCCCCGCCTCTTTCTGTCCCCTCCCCTGAGTGTGCCCCATCACCGCTCCTCCCCCTTCCTCCCAGTGCCTCCTGCATGCCGGGGAACAGGTGTTCAGCGGCATCCAGGAAGCACTGGGAGGGAGAGGGAGGAGTTGATCAGTGAGGCTGGTGGCCCTGGATGTGATTCTGCCCCCTACTCCAAGCGAACCATGTCCCTGTTGCTCCCCCTCCTCCCAGTACCTCCTGCATGCCATGGAACAGCTGTTCCCTGGTGTGCAGGAAGTGCTGGGAGGGAGGGGGAGAAGTTGAGGGAGAGAGGGGAGGAGTTGATCAGCGGGGCTCGCGGACCCCCTGGAGTACCGCGGACCCCAGTTTGAGAAACTCTGTTGTAGAACATTTTTGCAGCAGAGCCCCTCAACCACACCCACAAGGAGATAATACTGAAGGGACAATTAGCTGTTGGGGCAGAGCCCACCGCACTGGACAATAGAAATAGAGAATTCTTCCCACCCAGGGAGACCTGTGTTGACAACAGGCTGCGCAGAAGGTCCACAAGGACACTCTCTGCTCCTGCCACACTCCTACAGGGAGACTTCCAAGGAAAGCCAGGGTGCAGTAGGAAGTGATGCTAGCATTTATGTAAGTCCCACGTTTTTCTCTGAGACTGACTGGTCTACCTGCCCAGTATCATGTTAGGGGTTATTGGATGTAAGGGCCATCTTTTGGATGACATGTAAAGGAAAGGTCCCAACAATGGAATGTTAAAAAAGATCTAGACAATTTATAGTAATTCTAACCCCATATTTGGCTACAGTTCTTCTTGTATGCACATATAGACCCCAAACTTAAAAATATTTATGCATATGATTATTTTTAAAGTTAAGCATGTGTGTGTTTGCCAGAGAGTGGGGTGAGGGTGTATATGTGTGTGTGTGTGTGTGTGTGTGTGTGGTGAGTGGTGGGGTGATAGCAAGCTGTTTCTTAGAGATCCTTTATGACAAAAGGTACTGTATAAATGCAGGCATCCATTAAGACAAAATCCTTGGGGATCTGGAGTCTGAGAGCTAGAATCAGATCAGGAGGCATTGGGACAGCACAGTTGTTTGCTTTGACTGACCATTTAACTGGGATAGACTGTGTGGGTTGATTCTTTGACGAATAAGACCATGATCTCAGCAACAGAAGAAGGAAACATTGTGTGAAACTGGGAGAAAGAGTCTGTGACTGGTGGTGTTTTTCTGGATCTGTGCTCTGCTTAGCTTTAATTTGTCCCTGTATAAGTGGGATTAATTCTGAGCTAATGGGAAGCACTTGTCTTTCAGTCTCATACTTTGCAACCCACCTGTGATTTAGGGGTAGCTTATATATGTTATTCTTACATTTTGTACACCCATTTCCTGAGGCTACTTGAAAATTTGTCCTTGAATAGAACTTTTTCTGAAATCATGATGCTCAGTAGCATCAATTAATTAATTAAAAGAACACAGAAATCATCCAGAATAGGCAGTTATAGAAAACTGAGATTCAAATAGTTTATAAAAGTCATGTTTTAAAACAATTTTTTAAATAATTTGCAAGCATTTAAACTGTACTTGAAACTTCTAAATTCTGGTTAGTAACTAGTGGAAAGTAATATCTGTAGTTTATTGGAGAGAAAAAATCAAGTGAAATACCCAACCTCCGGAAAATGGGCATTTTAGCAGGAGTGTAGAATACATAATTGGAGACTGAACTGATTAGGATAAAAACATTCCATCATATCTGCTGTGCAGCTTTTACACCAATTCTAGACATTTATGTAATATTTAAATAGCCTCTCTCCAATAGTGTTTTCACTCTTTGATGTGGTATAACACTTTTCGTACATCTTTCTTCATTCGTCTAGATTATTTTCTTAGGCAAACAATACTTCTAATTTCTGTCTTCTGATCTGCTCAGTGTGTGTGACCATGTGTTGAGTTAAATTGCTAATGAATCACATAAGAGAAGATATATTAAATCACAAGTATATTACAACCTTGTCATAAATAAAAACATGAGAAGGTCTGTCTCTGAAAGATAAAAATACTTTGTTAAATAATAGAACTTTCTATAAACCAACTGTGAAAGCCTATAGTGGTTCTTATTCATTCATTACCTAGGAATTTCTTTGACATATATCAGGGTGATAGTTGTCTTTCCTGAAGTAAAACGTGTGGATATGGAACAAAAGGTCAGGCTGCTTCCTTGGGATTAGAGTAGTTTGGAAAGGATACAAGGAGAATGGCCTTCTAATTCAATGGATGACTGAGATCTGTGGAAAAGTAAGTACCCACTCTGTGGCAAACTGTCTCTCTCCACGGCTCTTGATGTCCCTACTCCACCCTGATAGGTTAGTTCTATAAGCAACTGGGCTCCTCTTGATCACCCTCCCATATGCTTCTGCTGTACTCTGTCTCCATGAGGGGACCTTAGCATCCAGGGTGATTTAGTATATGTCTGTATCTGTATGAGACTATAAATTCAACTTTGAAGAGTGCCATTTTGATTGTATGTATGTATGATTGTACTGTGCCTTCCTTTTTACCTCCATCTTGGACTGGGATATCTTGAGGTATTGACAGAGGGTGAACAGGGCAGAGCAACTACGGGTCATTAACCAGGAGGGTCTCCTATTCAGATAGAAGCATCCATGGACAATGAGTTAAGTACCATCCAGAGAAACCCTTTCTCCCAGGTGGCCTTGTACCAAGCAGTGGATTGTCTAATGAGGGACTGCAAGCAACTCAGATTGGTCACCTGAGAAAGGGGACAGCAACTTTATAAAATACGGACTCTCTCAACAACCATTTTAGAGAGAAGAGAACAGAAGCAGGTAAGAGAAGAAGGAAGAGAAGTGGGTCTCAAGACCCTGAAAATACACTGTCCAAATCCCAAAGGGCTCTTGGAGGGGAGGGATTTAACGCATAGGTTCTGTTCTTTTTAGCACAGTATATATCTAACGCTGCCTACGAGTTAAGTGTGGGTGCTAGAAATTCCTTGGCAGAATCTGTTGTTAGCTTATCCTGCCATGTTATCCTTGAAGAGGAAAACAGTAAATCAGAGAGGGTTCAGAGCTTCATCGGAACTCTAGAAATATGCTATTGGGGAGACTTGATAGAAACTGCACTAGTTTCAGGGCCAACACAATTGGACTGTGGGATTTCCCACTGCCAAGAGATGTGTCAGCCTCAAAGGCTGCACTTGGATGTGCGTCTAGAGGTTTCGAAAATTCAGAATGTGTGTGTGCCTGTGTGAAACATTTTATATTATGACATACACACAAAAAGTTAAAAGAATGTTAATATTGCAATTCCAAGCACTCTAAAGTTAGTAAATGACATAACAGTTGCCTGTGCAACTTTCTCATACCCTTTGTGTGTATGTATTATGATAATATTGCCCAACATCATAGGAAGTTTGTGTCAGAACCAGAGATAAAACTCAGTTCCGTGACTTAAATGCAAGATGACATGC